AATTTGGGGGGATTATTAATATTTTCAGATTTGATTGCGTTGAAAGTCCGACAACCATATCGGCACGCAATTATCATTTCTGAAATTAATTCATTTAAATGAATCTACAATAGTTCAACATCTTAACGTTCTGACCGTTATGGCGCTTCTTAATTTAAAATTATTATGTTTAGCATTAGCGGTCTTTCAATCTTATTACTATTTATATAAGTTCTATTTATATAAGTTAATTGAAAGAGATTATAATTACTTGTTAATTTCTTCTGTTTCTCCTGCACATTCGTTCGAACTGTCAGATAAGTTTGTCAGGTTAGATGAAGCTCCTTGACGTTCTTTGGCATTTCTTACAGTCACATGCTTGTTTGTATCTATGGCTGCGTTCAGCAGAACGTTTGTTTTGCAACTGTTGGAAGTTTCCTTCGCGCTAATTGGATCATACTTTTAGATCTAGAAGAATGGTCCTATCTCAGCAGACAATCATAAAACGGTTGCAAAACTGTTGAGTCTGCTGAACGCAGCCAATGTCATCATCTGAACTGCTTTCGTTATCTATTACGTTATCTGAAGTTTGACTTGCTATCCTACATTTATATGTATAAGAAGTTAAAAAAAAGCGATAATAAAAATGCTGTAAACATATTATTTCCAATTATGCACAATATTCTATTATGTGGAAATTTTGAAAATTATCATTTTTTAGACTCTTATTACTGAAAAGTTTAAAAGCGATCATGATTGTAGCGATCAAGTAGATTCAAATATCTTATAATTCTGACTATTCCTCGGTAAAAATTAGAGGGATTAAATTTTACTGGATCTTTCTATACATGGTGAATGTAAATTCGACTTCTGGGATGCACTTTGTTCAAAATAAAATTACAAAATATTTATGTATATACATATATAAAATATATATAAATTTGGTAATTATTTAGAATACGGGCCTCATTTCCGATGTTGATGAAATTGAACTCATTCGATGCGTTTTTACTCAAAATGAAAGAATCTGGCAAAAAAAATGTGGCGATCGGCCTCGTGAACCGAGATATTAAGCGTTAAAGTTCGAAATTTTTAGAGGTTAAGATATCTGTCATCTCGAGCTACGTTCGCTTTGGCGCTCACAGTGCTCGTAAGCATCAATTGTCCTTGTTTAATACTTAAAAATAACAAAGATGAAATGACGCTTAAAGCGTTATGGGCACCAAAACGAACACAGCCTCGATATACATAGCGTTATATCGAGTCGGGATAACATATCTTAACCTCTAAAATCTCGAACTTTAACGCTTGATATCTCGGTTCACGAGGCCGACATTTTTTTGCCAGGTTCTTTCATTTTGAGTAAAAACGCGTCGAATGAGCCCAATTTCGTCAAAATCGGAGATGAGACTCGTATTCTAAATAATTACCATAATTTTAAAATACAAACATTCTGAAAAATATTATGAGATGTTATGAGAATTTTTTTCACCCGTCTCATAGCATCTATAAAAATTAAACTGTATATGCCTACTTTACTACCTTGATCAAAAAGTTCCCGGAATTACCACCAGATGATGCTCTGAGTCAGCTGATTTGAGTTCTGTTTTTTTGGTTAGCCACATCTATCATTGACATTTCCACCAAATTTTATCGCCATAGCTTGACATTTGTAAAAGTTACGCCGTCTTGAGTACATCT